ATTTAGTTGAAGTATTTCCTTACTGGGGTTATAACTTTAAAAGGTGATTGTTTCATTTTTTTAACAAACCTTCCCTCTCCCCCCCACCCCCCTGCCGGTGTATCAGTTTACTCTGGATGTTATCATCTCATCTTGCATTACAGTTCCACCTTCATGTTGCTTGAAAGGAACTGTTGGGGCAAAGTAGCATTTCTGGTCTAGATAAAAATCTAAGCAAATACAAGTAAGGTACACTTGTGATACTTGTGTTGTCATTTACTCAATGTAGATTTTAAATGTGTTAAATAAAATGAAAAACCTGCAAAGTCATGTTTGTGTGAGTCTGTGCATATACTTGCTATGATTTCCTACTTTCATCTTAGTAGTGTACTGTTTCATAACCCTATGGTAACAACTCCAGAAGAAATACAAAATGTCTTTAAATTTTAGAGGGGGCAAAGTCAAATGTTTTAGGTCATAAAATGTGCTGTAAGACCCCACCTTGCCCTTTATATTAGTTGGACCCAGTGGACTACAGAAAATTTTATGAAACCTTTGTATTGAGTGATGACTATAAATAAAGTGTTACTGTTGTCCAAAGTCCATCCTGTACACAGCCTTTTTATTAAATAAAAATTCCCAACCCAGGAATTCCTGGCTTTCAGCCCAGGCACCTCAGATGCAAGTTGTCTTAGGTTTAGTGTGACAAGTATTCAGAAGACTGAGAAACTTACTTCAGGTACTGAAACTTCTAACCAGATTTGTGTTTATTTAAAATTTCATTCTGCTCTGAGTATCAGTATTACCTGAAAGTAACTTCTGTGCTTTTTGTAGCATTTGGGATGGTAATTTTGGCTTCTAAAGCTTCCTGGTTTTGTATAACTTTTCATATACTATTTCTGCAGTGCAGGCTTTTTTTTTTAAACAAGCTTTGGCATAGTTTAACTTTTTTCCTATGTACATGTGTACATACATAGCACATACCTGTGTGTAGGTCACTGCTTTTAATGAGATCCTGTTTCAGTAGGTCAGCAGATCTTGCATTTAGTTTGCTTTTGACGATGCTTATGTGGGTGCATTATCAACTTAGAAAGGCAAGAAAAGGTTCACCTTGTGGTATGGTGAGAGTTTTAAAACTAACAAAAAAAAATTGTGACTATTATGAGGCTAAAATTAGATCAAGAAACTCCTTCAGATAGGCTGAGATAGGGAAATTTTTGGTATGCAGGATAACTTCTGAAAGGAAGATAAAATCTCCCCTTTTGCAGCTAAAGATTGGGTTGTTTGTGGCTCGAAATTATTTATTTTCTTCTACAGCTGCCTTTCACCCATGCAGAGAGCACCCTTTGGCATTTTATGCGGTAACTGAGCTGTATTTATATATGTACTAGGCTCAGTAGGTTATGTGCAAATACTGACTTCTGTGCAGATAGGTTAGGCTTAGTGTAGAGGCTGAAGTGGACACTAGCAAAACAAAAGAAACCATCCAAAACTAGGCACCTGCATCTATGAGTGGTTCAAGTACACCTTGCTGTCAAAAGGTGTGGTCCTGGCTCTAGCAGCTTGTTCTCATATTCCTCTTTCTTGCACCTGTGCTGGCACAAGTGTTCCTGCACTGCCATAACAAACCAATTGGGTAACTGACTCTGTAAAATTTTTGTCTTGTCTGGTTTTAACATGGATATGAGAGTGAAGAGGGGAAGGCAGAGCTTCCTCCAGGACACAGTTTATCATTTAAAATGTTTGGGAAATGCAGTATGGGTTATACAGTGTTACCTTATAAACTTCAGTGGTGTAATAAAAAATACAGAAGTTGTTCTTTCAGTTGATACATGAGGTTAACAACAGTAGTGGGTCTAAAACTGTGATCATTTTGTGATCAGTTCTGAGCTGTGGGGCACAATACACTTTATGACCTACTGTGTGTTTGAATTCAAGATGCAGAATACTCAAGGTCAGCCAGCATACATGTGAGGAAGCAGTGCATGGTTAAATTTGAAAGGAGGCACAGGAAGCTTTCACATCTGTAAAATGAGTGACCATGGTGCATATTTTGTTTGAATTCCTCCTTCACTGAAGCCTGGCGTATTTAGTTTTACTTATATAAATGTATATATAATATGCATATATAATTTATATTTAAGAATATCTTTATGTGTACAATTTTAATGTGTTTTTACACTGTCATATATTATTTAAGCTACATAAATTAAGGGAGTGAATTCATTCTGCACGATACTCACTTGGGCTTAATGTGCAACAGTTCATGTGGTAAGCCTCTGAATAACATTATATATCAGAAATCATAGGAACTTTTTATAGGGTTTTTTTTTCAGTTAATTTAAATAATGTTGTTTTGTAAATTCAGGCATTGAATTCTAATGTTATTGAACAGTTGCATATATTCCTTTTTCACATTCCTTCAATCTTCTAGGTCGTGTTTATTGCCAAGTTGAAGGAGGTGGGAGGTGTTAACTTTAAACCTGAGACTTGGTTCTGTATAGTGCTTGCTAGCCCCCCCCCCCCCAAGAAAAAAAACCACGAATAAAACAAACAAAAGAACCCCTCACATCCTCCCCAGAACATACCACCACCCCCCCCCCCAACAAACCAAAAAACAACCACTCTTCAAAACACAACCAGCCAAACAAAAACCAAACACAAAAAACAACTTCCTCCCTTCCTCTTTTTGCATAGCTCCTGGGCTGTTTCCTGTTTCTGCTAATAGTTCTCAGTTGTTCCTGATCTCTAATAGACAAGTTATCATGCTGCAGCCGAATGCAGAAGAGGAAAGTGAAATAGCAATGGAGTTATTCCAGGCCTTTTGTCCAAATGAACCAAATCCAATTTTAGCTGCGAAAGGGGAAGTTGTTGGGATACCTACTCTAGGATGCTGGCCTTTATGAGGGAGTTGGCCTTGAAACTGAAAGGTGACTCTTACCTCCACAGAGCTTGTACTGGAAATAGCTAATTCCATCTGGAAATGAACAGCACATTTAAGCAACATATTCTGTGGGTACACAATTTATTTGGAGTCTCACTGTTTTAACAAAATTATTTTTACCTTGAATCTGTGGAGCTCTTCATATATGAAGAGGTCTGCATCCATATGGATTTGGTTATCTTGAATTAGCTAGCTTATTTCTGCACAAGGGAGAAAATGATAACATGCACCGATCCAACAGTTTGTGTTTGCTGAGAACATGTACTGGTGTTTGCTGGTGTGATGTTGCCCATTGTGTGTGTGCACTTATTGTAACTTCATCCTGAGCAGGCTTGCTATTCATATAGGAAGGTGCTTTAATTTTCTGTTTCCTGAAGTATTGTAAGCTCAATCTGCACAGGGAAGAGTTTGACAAAGCATCGGGTTCTGTGCAATTGAGGAGGCATTGCCAACTAGCTAGGGAGGGCAGGTGTGGGAGCTCCCCCTTGCTGCAGGTGCAAGCCTGTAGGTTGGCTTGCGTAACACCAGGAAATCTGCTATAGTGTTGCTGTTGTGTCTCCTGCCTCAGCAGCATTCAGATAATGATCAGCAAGCTGCAGCTCTGCAGGGCAGTCCTGGGCTATATGCTCTCTAGAGCTGATTCTGCCTGCGCATAATGTCTAGTGTGAGGTAGTATGGTTTCTTTTTGACAGCATATGATGTTGCAGACCACAAATGCTGAGAGGCCTGATTTTAGGAGCCTTATTCAAAGGCATCAGATGAGGAAATCATGCACTCAGTCGTGCTTCCACAATGCTCCAGTCCCATGTCTCTCATCTTTTCACATGCCCACATCTATAAGCCAGGTTTCCGAAACTTTCTCTACTCTTCCTCCTCATGTGCCCAGTGCTTGAACCCTGGATCACTTGTTTGGCCTCCACCGCTGTGCCTATAGCAATTTGCAGCCGCCTTCTTCCTGGCCTGTCTCCCGCTTTCTGCTCCCCAGGATCTGCTTTGCATACTGTGTCTGTGACTAAGAGGCCAGGTGTGCCTCTCCACTTAGAATCATATCTCACCACCCCAGCATCACAGTAACTCCTTGTGAACTTTTCATGCCAGAAATAGCAGGGAAAAAAGATTGGAACAGTGTGACAGCTTCCTTCAGACACACACATTCTTGCATGGCACGCACTTGTCCAATTTAACATTTCCTGAGAAAGGAGATAGAGTTGGGAGCATATAGCAAATACAGGTATAAGGGTAGAACCTAGTTATATACTCACAGTATTGAGTAGAGTGTAAGTATTTCTTGGTGTAGACATTACCTTAGTGTAACTCTGATATCTGTGTGTTTTGAATGTGTGTTCAGTTGATAGTAGGCAGTTCTTTCACTGTGTTAACTTTGCAGTATTCATAATTTACCATTGCTAATATAAAACAAATTAGAATGTGCTTCTTGTATGTTTAACAGTTCTTCTTCATATTTCTACGGGATTTACTTCCTAGGACATTTTTGAATGCCTAATGAAACCGTAGATGAATGCTTAAGTGCCCTATTTTTACTGTTATAAGCCTACTTGTAGGTACTAGTCTAAACTTGAAAAGTAACACTGAATGAGAGCCATGTAAATGATATGAAATCAAAATGCAGCTGAAAGCAGTAATGATGGTATAGCTTCTAGTGGGCTTAGTTTATTGTGCTTTCTCAGCCAGTATAATTCAATCTGTGGGTTTTATAACAGTATGTAAACATATCAGCATCTATAAAAAAAATCTTTCTTGGTATAGTTAAGGGATCATATCTAATCTAGACCAACTCCTACTTGAAGATTCCTTAGCTAAAATTTTGATAGCCTTCCTGTTTCTTGTTGCAGCTTTTCTTGTTGAATTGTGAATGGTTTGAAAAATTATGAATTATATATTTGAGGGAAAAAAAGTGTTTATCTGTTTAATCCTTCAAGGAAAAATCTGTACTGGAAATGTTTGTGCTTTTAACTTGTGAAAATACTATGTTCTGGGGACTTGAGTTTATCTAAATCACGTAATACCTACTAAAAACATAAATGTGAATAGACTTATTAGTGTGTTTGTTTTTCAGAAATAGAGGAACAGAATGCTGGACCTGGGATTGAAGATTTATAAAGGATTATGGGATTATACATTGAAGAGCCAGCAGGCGGAATGCCTGAGTGACTGAAGAAAATGGGTGCTAATGCATCTAACTACCCTCACTCGTGTTCCCCGAGGGTAGGGGGAAATTCACAGGCACAACAGACATTCATAGGTAACTTTTCAGTTATCTTGTCACTTACATAAATGACTTGATTGTGTACACACTTGATTTGATTTGCTAGCAGTTATGCTCTGCAGAGCTTTTATTTTCTAGGTCACCAGTTTGAATCCATTCAAGCTCAATCGTGCATGAAATTCAGTACTGTCCATCTGTTTTGCCTATGTATGCAATAAGTTGATTGCCACTTGCTAGTAAACAGGTGCCAGGTTATTTAAATAAAGTAGATCTTTTTAATAACTAACCCATGCATGCTAGTTTTCCCAGATCAAGAGCAGTAGCTATCTGTTAATACTGTCTGCCATTTTCTACTCTACCTCAAATTTTCTGTGAAACAGTTGGAGCATAGAAAACGCTTGATCATCAGTATTCATCATAGTATTGGCATTGTGTCTCATATGAGTGAATTACTTCCTTATTGCTAGAAGGATCTCCGGTAATGAACCTGTTACAGTAACAGTCTTGAAGACACCTTTTTCTGATGCCCTTTTCCTGTTCCTGTCAATGGGGAATGGAGGTACTTATTGTCCTAACAGTATTATTTATAAGTAAGGCTTAACTGGAAATGAGTCCAAGTGCCCTTAAAGTATTTTCTTACCCCAGTTGTAACTGGGGCAGATATTACCTTTATGTGCTTTTTAGTCTAGTGCAAAAAAACATCAGTGTAGATCTAAGTACTGTCACGCTATAAATAATACAGAGTTATGTGATGAATCTAAAAGAAGGCAGTTTTTGAGAAGATAAATCTTGCTTAAAGAAACCTCCAACCCTGACAGCCTGAAGAATGATCTTAGCAGTGAATAGCATAAATACTTCATAAACACTTATGCCTTGGCTTGCAACTGAAAAAGTAGTTTATTGATATTCAGTGTTACTTCTTTTCTTAATCACCACTGAAAGCACAGTGGTGTCCTTAGCACAGAAAAAAATTACTTACTTTGTGACTTTTCTCTTGTCTCAGCTTTTCTGACACTTCTAACTTTTGGAGGTCTGAGTAAGACAGCCCGCAAACTGTTATATGTAAAGACCTGTGCTCTGGGCTGAAAATTCTGTGTGTGCTGTCATAGCATATCAAGGAAGAACTTTAGTGCTAATATCTTTGATATCCAGGCTGTGAAGTCCCCCTTAAGGCTTTGTGTATTTTCAGTGTATATTATAATTAACAGCAGTAAAAGGTTTGCCCCAGTTCATATACACACACATATATATACACACTTTGTAAAAAATGACAGCCACAGCATTTGTATTACATGTCTTCATGTTTTATCTGTCTCTGTATTGAATGAAGTTAAACCCTTAGACCTGAAAACAGGCAGATCTGCATGCTGAAACACTGAGTAGGTTTGAAGAGGGGGAAGTTGCAAAGCTTCACTGAATTCCCACCAAAACTTTCTCTTTGGTATGTGGAAGGTTTTGTTGATGCTCTTCATCATTTAAGTTCAAAATAAAAAGCCATTATCTAGTATGTCATTATACATTTACTGATCATAGAACAGTTGTTGTGGTTTAAGCCCAGCTGGTAACTCAGAACCATGCAACCGCTCACTTGCCCCCTTTTTACCCCTGCTCCCGGAGGGATGGGGAGGAGAATCGAAAGAATGTAACTCCCACATGTTGAGATAAGAACAGCCCAGTAACTAAGGTATAACACAAACCACTACTGCTATCACTGATAATAATAATGATAAGGGAAATAACAAGGGAAGAATACAACTGCTCACCACCTGCTGACCAGATACCCAGCCGAACCGAGCAGTGATCTCGCCCTTCTGGGTTACTGCCCCCAGTTTATATACTGGGCATGATGTGCTGTGGTATGGAATACTACCCCTTTGGCTAGTTTGTGTCAGGTGTCCTGTTTCTGCTTCCTCCCAGCTTCCCCTTCTCCCTGGCAGAGCATGAGACTCAAAAAGTCCTTGGTCAGAATAAACATTACTTAGCAACAACTAAAACCGTTGGTGTTATCAGCGTTGTTCCCAGGCTGAAAGTCCAAACCACAGCACTGCACAAGCTATTAGGTAGGAGAAAAATGACTGCTACTGCTGAACCCAGGACAGGACCTTAAAGGTCACCTTGTTCCAAACCCCTCCCATGGGCAGGGATGCCTCACCTTAGACTATGTCACCCAAGGCTCTGTCCAGCCTGTCCTTGAACACTGCCAGGGGTGGGGCAGCCATAGCTTCTGTGGGAAACTGTTCTAGTGTCTTCCACCCTCAGAGTGAAGGATCAATTCCTAATGTGTGATCTCATCTGCCCTCATTCAGTTTAAAGCTATTTCCCCTTGTCCTACATGCTCTTGTAAAAATTCCCTCTCCAAATTTCTTCTAGGCCGCCTTTAGGTATTGGAAGGCTGCTCTAAGGTCTCCCCAGAGCCTGCTCTTCTCCAGGCTGAATAAGCCCAGTTCTTTCAGCCCATCTTAATAGCAGAGGTGCTCCAGCCTTATGAGCATCTTCTCTGGCATCCTTTGGACTCATTCCGAAAGGTCCATGTCACTTTTATGTTGGAGCCTCCAGAGCTGAATGAAGTACTGGAGGTGCAGTCTCCAGAGAGCAGAGCAGAGGGGGAGAATTGCCTCCTTTGACCTGCTGGTCTTGTTCCTTTTGGTGCAGCCCAACGTATGGTTGGCTTTCTGAGCTGCAGGTGCATGCTGCCAGGTCATGTTGAGCCTGTCGTCAGCCAACACCCCCAAGTCCTCTTAATCCATTCTCCATGTTATATCACAGAATCATAGAATAGTTAGGGTTGGAAAGGACCTTAGATCAACTTTTACAGATTTTTCTTTTTCTTTTTTTTATTTTTTAAATGTAGAAGGCATTAAGATCTATTTACTACCCCAAAGTAGAATGGAAATGTGGGGACTAAGGTTATAACAGCTACATAGTATGTATTGGTTGCCTTATTCCTGGAAACTTGCTCCAGGATTTGTTTTAGACATGCTGCTTTACCATGCTGCTATGCTGTAAATGTAGGCTGAATATTAAATGCTGAGAACTGATCGGCCTACGAAGCTACTGTACTTTGCCAAGCTGCTGTGGTTAATTGACTCATGCTGAATTTGCTTGCAGTTTATGAAGAGAAGATAAATCTGTAAAAATAATGCAGTGTTCTTAATGTAAAAAAAAAAACCAAAAAACAAAACCACTTTTGTTTTAGCAGAGGCTTCAGTAGTCATCTCCTTGCTGTTTTGTCTACAGCATTCAGGAGGAGGATTTCACACCATTTTCTAGGGTGGTACATCTGTTCAGGATGTTTATTAGATAGAGCTCTGTAATTAGATTTTAAAATGTGTAGGCATGCAGAGAACTAGACAGATCCCATTATACATTGTCAAGTGCCCAAGTAGTTTCTCTTGGCAGTCATATGTTTCTTGTAAATATTTATGTGTTCAGAGCTAGATATGGTCTAGGGGCATGGAGTAGCTGTTGCTTTTTAACAGCATTTAATAGATCAGTGCCTTTTAGTGTAGAAATGGGGAATAAATTTAATTTTCCTACTTCTAATGCTACTGCCTTGTGAAGGAATTACAGGCAGGTCAAAAAGAGGCTCTTCCAAATTCTTTCTTTGAGGGGCAGGGAGCCACTATCTGTTTTGAACCCAGAGAGGCTATGCTGATGCCTCTCTACTTCTGCCTCTAGCAAAAAGCAGTGGTGGCACTTCTGTAGCAGTGTTTTATCTACTTGTAAGGGTTATTAGCAATGTGTGCAGTATTTCTGAAGTTAAAGCTTGTAAGTAGCACAGGGTACACAAAGGTTTGAATGGTGTTTTAGTATCTTGTGGCAATTCACATGCAAGTAATACCTCACAGCAGCCTTCAGGGAAGAAAGAAAATGAGACTTGTGGTGTCCTAGTTTTTCTTTAGTGGAATCTAAGAGAATATGCTGCATACTCAAAATTACCATTAGAGTCTGAAATACTTCATGAAATGAGCTGGCATGCTCTTTTGGAGTAGAATCTATCATTATAGCTTGACCAAAGCGTAGTTATGCTTTTATTGTGAAATGTAATCAATACTTTCAAATGGAGCAGAAATTCTAGGCTTGTCTCTATCATCAGGAGACTGAATCTGTTTTCCTATTATAATACCTAGTATATCATGTGGAAGGAATTTTTATGGTGGATTTTGCAGCATACCCCTTTATTGAAATTGCCTTGAGTTACTGCTGTTCTCTTCATTTAAAATGTTTTTTTTTTATGTCTTGAAATTACAGTATGATTGATAACATGTTGCTTGATCAAGCAAAATTTGATGTAGCATGACTAAAATAGTTAGAGGTCTTTCTTCAAGGAATGTGAAGTTACTTCCCAAAGTTCCCACTAACAGATGAATCATAAAACCATTGTGTTGCAAGGTTGGGGGAGGGGTGGGGTGGGGTTGATTAGCTTGGCAGAAAAGCCAGTGTATAAAGTTACTTAGAATTATTGAGGCTTAAATAATAAAACAATTTACAGAAATCTTCAATAGCTACAGTTGCTGTGTTCTCAAATACAACTTTTACTTGCTCCTGTGTCTTTTGAAGTTCAAGAAATACTCACCTGAAATAAGGTAACTAAAAGCACTGTATTATAACAGACTGACCTGTAACATTGCTCTCAAAACAGCATCCCATCAAATCTACCTGAAACAAATGGAATTGAGCAGTGATAGATCGAGTTACAAAAGGCCCCTGAAGCTCTTGTAGTTGGATGTGTCTTGAACTTAGAAGATCTGAAAAGGCAACAAATAATGAAGCTACACAAGTATAATGATGGAAGCAAGTTAACTATTCCCAACAGAAAGTGGACAAATACTACTTCAGATGAAGCTGCCATTGTTATCAGGCCCAGCAGGCAGGGAGGAGGGTTGCTATTTATGTTAGGAATAGGCTGGAGAGTATGGAACTCTGTCTGGGGACAGGTGATCAGTCCACAGAGAGTTTGTGGGTCAGGGTTAGAGGGAGAACAGCCATAAGGGACATTATTGTGGGGATCTATTACAGACTGCCTGACCAAGAGGAATCTGTGGATGAAGCACTCTACAGAGAGATAGGAACAGCCTCCCACTCACAGGCCCTTGTTCTCATGGGAGACTTCAACCACCCTGATACCTATTGGAGTGATGGTACGGCCCAGCAGAAGCAATCATAGAATAGTTAGGGTTGGAAAGGACCTTAAGATCATCTAGTTCCAACCCCCCTGCCATGGGCAGGGGACTTTACGCTAAATCATATCACCGAAGGCCTCGTCCAACCTGGTCTTGAACACTGCCAGGGATGGAGCATTCACAACCTCCCTGGGCAACCCATTCCAGTGCCTCACCACCCTAACAGGAAAGAATTTCCTTCTTATATCCAATCTAAACTTCCCCTGTTTAAGTTTTAACCCGTTACCCCTTGTCCTATCACTACAGTCTCTAATGAAGAGTCCCTCTCCAGCATCCCTATAGGCCCCCTTCAGATACTGGAAGGCTGCTATGAGGTCTCTGTGCAGCCTTCTCTTCTCCAGGCTGAACAGCCCCAACTTCCTCAGCCTGTTTTCATACGGGAGGTGCTCCAGTCCCCTGATCATCCTCGTGGCCCTCCTCTGGACTTGTTCCAACAGTTCCATGTCCTTCAGGTTCCTGAACAGGCCAAAGTCTCCTCTGTTGAAGTCCAGGGCAGTGAGCTTGCTGCATGCTCTCCTCACTGTCCTGAGGATCTCAAATTCAACCATCTCATGATTGCTGCACCCAAGGCTGCCCTGGAGTGTCACATTTCCAAACAGCTCTCCCCTGTTGGTGAGCACAAGGTCAAGCACGGCACCTCTCCTGGGCTGCTCCTCTATTACTTGCAGAAGGAAGTTGTCTTCTACACAATCGAGGAACCTCCTGGATTGCTTGTGCCAGGCCGTAACGTCCTTCCAAAGGATGTCAGGGTGGTTGAAGTCACCCATGAGAACAAGGGCCTGTGAGCGTGAGGCTTTTCCTGCCTGTCTATGGAGTGCTACATCCGCAGGTTCTCCTTGATCAGGCGGTCTGTAACAGATGCCCACAGTAATGTCTCCCATAGCTATATTCCCTTTAACCCTGACCCACAAAGTCTCTGTGGACTGCTCACCTGTCCCCCGACAGAGTTCCATACTCTCCAGCCTATCCCTAACATAAAGGGCAACTCCCCCTCCCCGCCTGCCAGGCCTGTCCTTCCTAAAGAGCCTGTAACCTTCCATTCCAACTCTCCAGTCATAGGAGCCATCCCACCATGTTTCTGTGATGCCTATTATATCATACCCCCGTAGACGTGCACACACCTCTAATTCCTTTTGTTTGTTCCCCATGGTAATGGCATTTGTATAGAGGCATCTGAGCTGAGCTCCAACTAAAGCCGGCTCATTGGCTGGAGCAGCTGGGATATCTCTACATTGCTCCAGGCATTTATTATAGGTTCTGGCAACTGACTGGGTGTGTTGGGGTGGAATGATGGCCCCCCTCCCCCAACATATCTAGTTTAAAGCCTCCTTGACCAGTCTGGCAAGCCTCCTACCAAAACTGCTCTTTCCCTTCTTCAGCAGCAGCTCCACCAGCCCCCAGTAGACCTGGCCTACAAGCTTGGGTCCCATGTTCAAGACACCCAAACCCCTGACTATGACACCACCCTTTTAACCATTTATTAACCTGGCTAATCCTCCTAGCTTTTTTTAGGTCCTCCCCTGTACCCTGGAGAATTGATGAAAAGACCACCTGAGCACCAGAGCCCCTAACCACCTCCCCCAGGGCTCTGTAGTCCTTCTTTATGTTCCCCAGGCTGCTACTAAATATATCCCTAGCACCCACATGTATCACCAGGAGTGGGTAATAGTCCGTGGGACTTACTAGACCAGGCAGCCTCTCTGCCACATCCCTGATCCGTGCCCTGGTTGGCAACACACCTCCCTTGAGACGGGGTCTGGCCGTCAGACAAGTGCTTCTGTCCCTTTTAGTGTAGAGTCCCCCACTACTATGACCCGCCGCTTTTTCCTAGCAGCACCAGTAGAGATCTTCTTTAGCAGGGCATCAGCCGGCTGTTTCTGGCTCGAGTACGTTTCCTCATTAGCCCCCTGCAGGACAGCAAAGCTGTTCTGCCTGGAGACGGGATTTAGGGGGAAGCCCCTTCCTTTTGGTTGTCCTTTTCCTTCTTTTTTTTTTGTTGTTTTTTTTGGTCACTAATTCCCAGCTTCCCAACTTAATGGCCTCCTTCTTTCCTTCATGAGGTAGAGGTGAAGCTCGAGGCCCCTGCACAGTTTGGGCCAGGAGCAAGCATTCCTGCTTCCTTTCAGCTTCCCTGACATCTCGCAGTCTATTAACAGCATCCTGCAGCTCAGCCACCTGCTGCAGGAGGACCTCCACCAGGGAGCACCGAGTGCAGCCCTGCCCATTGTGCACCCTCCTCTCACCAGACCAGTGCAGGCACTCTCCTCTCTACACCCCGAGCTCTGCACTGCAGCCTCCCCTCTCATCGGCTCTGTCTGGGTGCCTACGCTGGCCACCGCCGGGGCAGCCAGAGCAGAGCTGCCGGACGGGGCCCTGGTCATACGACGAGTGCTTACCATCCTGCTCGCCTGCCCGCACAAACTGCCTCGACCCGCTCTGTTTGCCTGCTCTGTTTGCCGCGCTCCTTGGGGCAGGTTTTTAACCGGTCAGGGCTGGTGCCGCTGCTTCAGGCTCCGCCCCCTGTGAGTCTGCTGCTCGTGTCAGCTCAGCTGCCGGAGGTTCCACTCAGTCTCGCCGCTGGCCATCATATTTGAGAAATCATGGCAGTCAGGTGAAGTTCCCGACGACTGGAAAAAGGGAAATATAACCCCCATTTTCAAGAAGGGGAAAATGGATGGCCCAGGAAATTACAGACCAGTCAGTCTCACCTCTGTGCTTGGCAAAATCTTGGAGCAGATTCTCCTGCAAGGTCCTACACCTGGGTCAGAGGAATCCCAGGCACAGCTACAGGTTGGGCAGAGAAGAGATTCAGAGCAGCCCTGTGGAGAAGGACTTGGGGGTGTTGGTTGATGAGAAAATGAACATGAGCTGGCAGTGTGCGCTCGCAGCCCAGAAAGCCAACTGTATCCTGGGCCGCATCAAAAGGAGCGTGACCAGCAGGTTGAAGGAGGTGATCCTGCCCCTCTGCTCTTGTGAGACCTCATTTGGAGTATTGTGTGCAGTTCTGGTGTCCTCAACTTAAAAAGGACATGGAACTGTTGGAACAAGTCCAGAGGAGGGTCACGAGGATGATCACGGGACTGGAGCACCTCCCGTACGAAGACAGGCTGAGGAAGTTGGGGCTGTTCAGCCTGGAGAAGGGAAGGCTGTGTGGAGACCTCATAGCAGCCTTCCAGTATCTGAAGGGGGCCTATAGGGATGCTGGGGAGGGACTCTTCATTAGAGACTGTAGTGATAGGACAAGGGTAACAGGTTCAAACTTAAACAGGGAAAGTTTAGACTGGATATAAGGAAGATGTTCTTTACTGTAAGGGTGGTGACGCAGTGGAATGGGTTGCCCAAGGAAGTTGTGAATGCTCCATCCCTGGCGATGTTCAAGGCGAGGTTGGACAGAGCCTTGAATGCCATGGTTTAGTGTGAGGTGTCCCTGCCCATGGCAGGGGGTTTGGAACTGGATGATCTTAAGGTCCTTTCCAATCCTAACTATTCTATGATTCTAAATAAAGTTAGAGAAATAGCCATTTAATGTGAGAGTTGTGCTTCTGTTGAAACTACTTTTTTTTACAAAAATGTTACTTCAGCTTTCCATTACCTCTAGAAATTCAGTTTCTAACTCCTCTTTTTGTTAATAATTTGTTATCAGTGCTATAGTATAGTGTCTAGGTTCAAACTGGCAATCAGCAGAGGTTCATTTGGCAGAACAGGGCGGGTCTGTGACACAGGTATTTGACGAGGAATCTGCTTTTCATTTTATGACATGTTTGGCTCATAACTTCCCTATAGATGATTTTTGGGAGGTAAAATAATTGTGTACTTTGATTGTATAATGCTCTGTTCAAAGAATGTCTTTAACAATACAACAGAACTTCCATTCTCCACATTCTTTTGAATGAGGTTTAGACACAAAATTGGTATCTATAGTTCTGTGAAAAGGAGCCCATTTTGTGTGTTTGACTTATGGAATTACCTGATTATCATATGATAGAATTTTAACTTTCTTATTAAATTTGTGTTAAAAATGTATTTATTGTCCTCATTTTCCCTGAATGTTTTCATACTGTGTTTTTGGTTTTTGTTTGGTTTTTTTATTGTGACTTATCCTAACTGTCACCAGGGATGTTTTTATTGTTGAAATAACTCTTAATGCTAGAAGAACAGAATTTGAAAAAGCACTTTGAAGGAGGAGATGCTACTATTTAACTGAGATCATTCAAGTTTTTAAAAAGGCTGTTTTTCTCTTCCTATAGGTAGCGAGGGCAGTGACATTTGTAACATTCTAACCACGGTGTTCTCTTCCTGCTTCGATAAGCCTACCATGTGCTACAAAGTTACGTCAGCTGCTTGGTTCTTAAAATTGAGTGCATTAAAAAAAAAAAGCTTATAAATGAAGAAAAAAATAATAATTAATGGGTAGAAAGGGTTTCAGTCAGGTTTCCAACTTGCTGAATTATTTCATCTCAGAAGGAAAAACTGTGTAACTGTCAGAGACATTGATGGACTGGTTATGTCTTATGGCCCTTCCTTTAAATGTAAAGAATAAATGTGTTCAATTTTCCTTTTTGCCTTCAGGGACATCATCCTACTCTCATCAAGGTTATGGCTGTGAATCAAAGCTCTATAGCCTTGACCATGGCCATGAGAAACCTCAAGACAAGAAAAAGAAAACCTCTGGCCTTGCCACCCTCAAGAAGAAATTCATTAAGCGTCGGAAGTCTAGCCGGTCTGCTGACCATGCTAAGCAGATGCGCGAGCTCCTCTCAGGCTGGGATGTCAGAGATGTTAATGCATTAGTAGAAGAATATGAGGGGACGTCAGCCTTAAAGGAACTTTATCTACAAGCTAATTTGGCAAGACCAGAAGCCAGAACGCTACAAAAAGACATGGCTGAACTTTATCAGTACAAATATTGCACTGATGTAGACTTAATATTTCAAGAAACTTGTTTTCCTGTGCATCGTGCGATACTGGCAGCAAGATGTCCATTTTTTAAAACGCTGCTTTCTTCCTCACCAGAGTATGGGGCAGAAATAATAATGGATATTAACACAGCTGGCATAGATATGCCCATGTTTTCTGCTTTGTTACACTACCTTTATACAGGCGAGTTTGGAATGGAGGATTCAAGATTCCAAAACGTTGATATCCTTGTGCAGCTTAGTGAAGAATTTGGAACACCAAATTCATTAGATGTTGACATGCGTGCGCTCTTTGATTACATGTGCTACTACGATGTGGTTCTTAGCTTTTCATCCAATTCTGACATAGTTGAAACTTTTGGTGGAAGTCACAACTGTCTAGATGAAGAGCTCAGAGCTCACAAAGCTGTTATTTCATCACGATCTCCGTTTTTTCGTCACCTGCTGCAGAGGAGGATACGAACTGGTGAAGAAATCACAGACCGAACTCTACGAACTCCAACTAGAATTGTATTGGATGAATCTATCATACCAAAAAAATATGCTAAGGTGATTTTGAACTGTATGTATACAGATGTGGTGGACCTCTCAGTTTTGCACTCCAGTCCTTCAGTGGGCAGTTTAAGTGAAGTTCAAGCTCTTGTAGCAGGAAAATTAAACATGACTAGGGCTGAAGAAGCTATGGAGCTTTATCACATAGCACTGTTCTTGGAGTTTAACATGCTTGCACAAGGTACGTCATACTGTCCTTGCTATAAAATATATGACCTTACAGAACAATTTCTTAGCTATTTTGCAGTGTAAGTATGTCTATTGAGTATTGCTGTCAAGGGCTGACAATTCCTAGAAAGGCTTATCTTTCATTTGTAGAGAATTGTGTTGTAGATAATCCATCTGTGTTTTCTAGGGACAGAAGAAATGCCATGTGAGAACTTTTAATTGTATTGCACAGTATTATTAAAGCATGCTACTTAAGTCAGATATTTATAGCTGGTATTGATATTTCTTTTTTTATGTACTTTATAATCCATTTTTTTGGGTATAAATGATGGGAGGATACAAGACATCCTTGTTGAGAGGAAGAAATATTTAGACTTATTATGAAGTGCCCCTATGTGATGTAAACTTGAATGATTATTTCTGTTGTTTATGTTAAAGAGGGTACACCAAACTTGCAGTCTTGTGTTTAGAAAGTAAATTTAAACAGCTTAATTACACTAGTCCTGTGTTTTTAGTATCTTCTACTTGATTTACAGAATTGAAGGCAGGGGCAGTTGGTATTTTAAGACTTAAAGCTTAGAAATTTTCACTTCTGTCCGTTATTCTTGAGGGTCACTCAAATCTTGATAACATACTTTCTGTACATGGAGTCTGGCCAGAGTTATTACAGCCTCTGGTGAGGTGGTGCAACTCTGACTAGGGAACTAAAAATACATCTTGTAGTGGCAGGAGCTTTATTTGCTGTTTCATCTGTTGGGGTTTCAACTATTTAGTGGCCATATTCTACATAATGGGATATGACACTTGCTTCAGGCCTTGCTAGTGGGGGATAAGAATTTTGCTTTTGAGCCGAATGGCTTGCCAACACCTCAGCAGCACGCTTGGGTGGCTGGAACCGGTGAGTCCAACAGTGTGTGCTCAGTCTTGGTGGCCCTGTAGTTGAACCGGAGATGTAGCATTTTGGGGGTGGTCACTGGGAGGAGGTAGGGGCATGCAGTGGCCTTCAGAAGTCTGGTCTTCTTTCCCTGTGTCTGACCACAGAAGTGGTGAGCTGTGGGGAGCCTGTTTATACGTAGGGGAGGAATGCAGTGAAATCAGGCCAAGATTGAAATTTATTGTATTATCCAATAAAGCGAATGGAAATTTGGTGCCCCTTTAGATAATGAAATTCTAGACTTTAACTGGAACTAATGATGATTTTACAAATCACTGCTGCATTCCCTAGCTACAGGAGAAAGCAGTAAACAATCTGTAGAAAATCTGTATGCCAGTGAAGTGAGTATCTAATAATCTAAAACTCAATTTGCTGAGTTCATGTTTAGGTCATTGGTACTCTGCTGGCAATGAAGGATTGTTCTGGCATAATCTTATAATGAAAATTAAAAGAAGTCTTATTTGATCAGGGAAAAGTACATCTCATAATCACAGAATACAAGTTTGGAAAGGACCTTAGGAATCATATGGTCCACCGTTTCTAAGCAGAGCATGACATAGACTAGATGGTCCAGCATCCTGTCAGGTCTAATCTAAGAAGTGTCCAACGTTGGGGAATCCACCACTTCCCTGGGGAGATTATTCCAGTGGATGATTTTTTTCATTATGAGAAATTTTCCTCTTGTGTCCAACCAGAATCTCCCCATCAGTAACTTTTGCTCATCACCCCTTGTCTTTTCCGTGTGACTGCTTCTGAAAGGGGAGGCTATTTTGTTGCAGCCACCCTTTAAATACTGGAACATGGTAAGAAGGTCTCCCCTGAGCCTTCTTGTCTCTAGGCTGAATAAACCCAGCTTTCTCAGCCTTCTCTCATGTGGCAGGCTTCCCAATCCTGTGATCATATCTGTGACTGGAGGCTGTCACTCAAACATCTGACTTCTAGATGTTATGCAGAGCAATGCTAGAAAAGAGAGTATTGTGTTGGTGTAGGAGATCACTGAGCAGGCAGTTCTCATGAAATCTTGTCCTCTGACAGCACTTTTCTACTCTATTGTGCTGCAGGTGTGCAGCTTTGCCTAAGCTATGACTTTTGCAGCAGCTAATGTCTTGTGTTTCTTCTCTTGATTTCCATACCCCCAGGCTGCTCAAGTTTTTGATTCACTTCACTCATCCTAGCCAATTGTGAACTTGCTAAAGCTTGTCTCCCTGGTTTCCTGGAAAATATTTTTGTGTCATTATATGTAAGCCTAGATACGCTTTCCAAGTTGTTTTGTTCAGTTTTATTCAGTTTTGGCTGGGTATTTGTAACTGAGTGTCAAGTGAAGTTGATGTATTTTAAAGCTTCTGATCAACTGTTTGTATTTTGAACAGATTTTTAGTATGATTTGTCTTCAGGGACTTTTCTAAGTATCCAGATGTTGTAATTTTTCTTAAATTTCAGCAGATGATTCAGCTTTGACTTTTTTCCATGGAAATCTTCCTGTTCATAACACAGTGATACTCCTTTTCTGACGTATTTTAATAGATAGTTTCCCCATGTTGAAGTCACTGTCCAAGCAAAGCAAGACTATTTAGAATTTGCTCTTCCTTCAGCTTGTTTCAGCTGATAGTTGTCACTTTTCTTCCAAGATAAAATTAATTGGATATTTGAATGAACTAATTTGAATAAATGAACTAATCAGCAAGCTTATCTCATCTGTACAGCTGGTAATAGTGAAAGCCATTTGTACCTGTGAAGTGAAGCTCTTCACTGCTTTTACAGAGGCTGTGAGGATTAGAGCCCTCCCCAGGAGGTTCAGGCCCATCTTAGTGGAATATTTCTTTGCCCTGCCTTCTTGTTTCTGCACTCTGCTCCTGCTTTTATGTCTTCATGGTAACTTGCTTCCGTCTGTCAGCTGTACTGTGATTGTTTTAACACATTGACTCACCAAGATCAGGTTTAAAAATCACTTAGCCCTTCCTCTTCTGTAGCAGTTGTTAAACCAGATCAGTTTCTGGCCCTGTTTGTCATGTGCTGTTAAAGTAATCCCTCCTTCAAGTCTTGGCTGTGGATGTGGCAGTGCACTATTGGAGAGAATTTTGACTTCAGGTATCTTAATTTTATTATGTAGCTATTATAAGTATGTGAATCCTCTTCAGCAACTTGGCTCTGTCGTTTACGGTTATGAGTAGTCTCCCTGTGTTTTTCTGTTTCTCCCAGTGTGTTTTTTCTGTTACAGGTTTTTGGATACTAGGACTGAAATAGTTTTGCTTGGGAATCTTTTCTGCCTGATGAGAAGTTTTCTAAAGTAAAATTGACAACAAAAACTCCTTAATTTCAAACTTGATTTCCTTTTATTTTTAGATGTTGACTTGACTTGTGACAAGACTAAGAACTAAAACTTTATTTTGAAGCCGTATTCAGTAGTGCTGCCTTTGATCTAGAGGTAGATAGCGCCTGACATCAAAAGTACCCTTGATCTCAGCAGGACTGAAATACTGAAATGCCAGAAAGCCCACAGTAGCAGTATTAAATACACACAAATTTATTGTGGGACAATTAGAGCAAATATGTCAGTCATTTATCAGTGTAGTAGGGGAAGGCTCAAAGGAATTAGTCTGGCACTTACAACTTTAAAGTAAATTGGGTATGATTAAGTAAATATTAACATAAATCTGACCTATTATCTCCTTACAATGATTCACTTGTACCCAATCCTGATATTATTGCTTAGGGTTTATATGGTGAAGTTTATGACTGGAGAAACTAGGAAGTGGAAAGGATCTTCCTTAGAGCAATTGCATTCAAAGGCTATATACAAGGACAAAGAATTTGACCAAGTTGTACAACTGGGCATATAAAATCAGTTTGTAATATCACAGTTTGCAGAGAAACAGATCTGGTCACCATTTCCAGATTTTTCCTTCAGTCACCTGTGTTCTAGGAGCTTAAATCTGAACAAGTTTAATGTACAGATTAAATCTGAACAGTGATGGCTGGCCTGTTCCCTCCAAATATCAGTTCTTCTTCCCTCAGCCCTTCATTGTTCCCATGTTAAGTTCTTCCCTCTGGTTTATTATGGTTAAGTTGGCAGCTTTTTGTTTCTGACCCACGACTGTTTTCTGTTTAAGCTGGATCAGCTTACTGCCTGCTGCTGAAAGTGCTGCTTCAGGAATGCTGTTATCAGCTGATGGCTGCAAGAAGCCAAAGATGTAGGAGCGGATTTCAGGCTTCCTAAACTTATGCATTTTGCACGTGGCAGGAGCAGAAAAGTAAATTAATTTTTGTTGTTTGGTAGAGAAAACATTAAAGAGCTTTTGGCACTTATTTGGAACACTTTAAACATGTGATGGCTACCTTACATTTCTGGCTAAACTTAAAACTTAAAAAATCCAGCTGTTAATGTCTTAGAATGTTTAAGACCTTTGTAACTGCCATATCATAAATGAAAATATTTTTAAATAACACAAGTTGCATTGTTTTAACCTGTTTCCTAATTTAATATTTCAGGTGGTTGCATAATATGCTGTATTGGATTCAACATGACTTGGACTTTTCACTGTGGAAGGATGGTTAGCGTAACACAGAATGGTGCCTGACCTTACCTTCACAGCTTTTTATTTTTACCTTTAATAGTTAATCTGAAGTGGTATAAAGTTGTGAGCTTTGTATTTGAATAAAGCAAAAAATACTTTATAAATATATGAAGTAAATATACACTTAATAGTGCTGTAATAGATGTACTTTGGATTCAGCCTTCCAAGGGTGAGAGTACATGAATGTTTTAAATTTTTGTGCTTATAAAAATCAGCAGAGGGATTACAAATAGCTCAAAAGAGGTATTGAATTTAGCAATAGACTTAAGTGTTTGATCACTAGTGAACCCTTCTTTATCTCCAATGCTACTTAGGTCTTGTTTTCTTTTCTGCAAAACATTCACGTAGTTTTGCATCTTCATGTAGCCAAAACTTGTGTGCTTCGGGGTTCTAAAATGTGGTCAATAATGCACAAATTTGCAAAATTACAGGCTTGACATACTTAACTACTGATGTAATCTCCTTTCAAAGATGTTCTTGTATATATACAATTTGGTGAGGATATGGAAAAGAAAAGCATTAAGGCTTCAAAAAGCTAAAATGCTTAAAAAAAAACTCTGCAAAAACTCTGTAGCAGGGTTCCTTTAAGACACAGAATATGGTGCTGCCAGGAGGCAATAATGTTAAACTGGGAAAGTCAGCCTGCATGCAAAAGATGGATGTTGAATTTCAAGACCCCTTGTTCACAATACAGTTACAGGAAAGTAGAGGTTGTTGCAGTTGCAGCTTAAATGATAACCAGTTAAAAAGATATGCTTAACTACATGAGTCTTCTGACTTGCTCTTGCTAGTTTTGTGACTTTTGCCTACTGCTGTGGAGAACCTGAATTCCTTTTGCCATGTCTCAAGTTGTATTTCAGTTGAACCTTATAGGTTGTTCGGCTGTCAAAAGCGGTACTTCTGCCCTGCCTCCTACATTAGTCCACTTGTTCCTGTTCTCTGTGCTGGCACCAGGGTTTGTGCTATTTGGAAGATAACATTGCTGGAAGCAGGATTGACAGAAATTAGTTCAGCACCAATGTGACAGAAGAGCAGGAGATGTGGAGTGCAAGAATATGACAATCTGGTTTAATACCGCTGTTAATCAAGGGGGTTAACTTCCATGCATGCTCCCATAGCCAGTGAGTGTGAGCTTCCTTCTAAAGTACAGGACACATTGCAACTTTGGGTCGGTAAGATGTGGGAAAGAGGCTAAACAAATGTCTTCGTTTTTTACTTCCTCTTTCAGTCAGAAGTTTGGTTAGAGCAGCAAGGGTGCTCATGCATGGGTGAGATGGGTGTTAACTGCCTCCAACAGTTAACTTTTGCTAACTGTTGGAGGCACTTAATTTGTCTTTAGTGGGTCTGTCAGCTGTCTTGATAAGATCCCAAGCTACTCACTAGCATGCTAAATATGAGCCCAAGTTATTTCTGTTTAGAAGGGCTTTTGAGAGATAACTGGGGAAGCAGAAAGGACTTTCTTGTTTGTAGACAGGACAGACCTATTGGTATCCCACAATAGGAGAACATGGAACAGCCTAATGTCCAAAATGCGATAGTCATCTTTAGTGTCTTTAGACTGAGTTGAATATGTGAAGGATACTAACTAGTGGTCACAGAAGCTTGTGGTGGAGCACTTTGGGACACTACAAATGGATCTTGGAAAGGCTGCTATTCCCTGAATATTCTAAAATAGTACTCAGAAGAGAAAAATGAGCCATATCACTGTGAAGAACAATATTGTGGCTATTGGATGACTGTTTGTTGGGGGGCGGGATGCCAAGTGGGTGGTTGTTAAAGGAAAAAAAAAATCTGCCAAAGAGAAAAAGAAACTAGATTTCTCTGACAGCTGGACTTGGCTTGCCCCAGTTTATTTAGACGTTCAGAAAACACTAATTACTACCTCATGCTTACATTGAAAGAAATACTTTTAACAATTGTGCAGTTCTGACCCATTGTCTAAATTACTTGGGAAAAGGATTGTTTAGTTGCTAGGCATCTTGAATGAGCTTTTCACCTGATGACAGCATATTTTTTTGGTAGTTGTGCAGTAACTGGACTTGATAGAAGAATTCGGAGCTGATGCTCTGTTCCTGTACATCAGTTTGCTTACATCTTTGGAACTGTATTTCTCATAGAAATGTAGTTTTCTGTCTTTGCAGGGGATAAATACTGTTTCAAGAGTAAATGTCAGATGAAATACCAGGAATGGCATTCACTTTGAGATAAACCTCTTTGCTCTCACAGTTTGAGCTTCCTTGTGACTGATTTCAGTGAGTGGTTTTACGTACTGCCTTTGAAATAGAGCAGTCCTTATGTGTGATCTTCAGTCTTCCGGGGATGTAATCATCTGCTGAAGTCAGCTTGCATGCAAGCGGTAAAAGTGCATGCAAAAAAAACTTGTGTTAGGATTTAGCAGGGGAAGACTTAATGCAACACAACATGTGATCCTAAAGAATTGTTTCAAACAACTCTGCTTCTTATTCAGGGATGCAGGCTCCTCTTCTAAGCGTACTGGTTAGAAGTCATGGTTAGCTTTCATTTGCCATGCCAGGCTTGCTGCTAACTTAACTTTTTCCTTTTTTGAGTCCCAAAGGGAAGATAAGGGGTGATTGCACAACAAAGCTAAATACAGTGTCAGCCATTAACTGTGTAAGGAAAACTGTAAGTAAAAATTGATCTTGAAGTGGAAGGGTTTAGATTTTACTTATTCATATTTCTGACATATGCTGAGGTATCTTCTTTTTAAAGGTAGGTTTATTTGGGGGTTTATTTCAGAGCAGTTCTCTTCCACTGTACCTCTGCTCTTGTCTGTACCAGTGGTAATGAGGGTGATGTTCCAGGTGCCTCTAACCAATCTTTGCTTCAATCCTTGCTTTAGGCTAGTCCTCACTGTGCAGGTTAGAGGTCAATATCTATAGTAAGGCATCTGTTCTTCCTTATAGTAGTAATAATACGAAGTAACCTAATGGTAATAGGTAGCTTTGAGAAGTGCCATATCACTTCAGTAATGGTAAAGAACAAAGTAGTTAGTGCACTGAAGCACGACCCAATGCTTACCCCTTTGTCAAAAGCAAAGGGAGGGTCTAACTTGGGATTAATAGTATAATATTGCTGCATTTTTTGGAAATGTGTTTGCTTTTGCTAGCCCTTCTTTCAGTGGCTGTGTTGACATATGGTCTTCCTTTTCTCAGGTGAGTCAGGCTACTAACTGCTGCTGGTGTCTGACATGTATGCAACCATGCAGTTCAGAAATCTGTAGCATCAGGAGAGCATGTTTGATCTTTGTCTTGACGACCATTAAAATTACTGTGCTAACTGCTTTCTTCCTCAGTTCAGTCCAAGAGCTCAGTAATGAGATACAGTTCTCTAAACAACTGTCAAAGCTTAGTTTTTAAATATTCTTGAAACTGAGAGGAAAATGATGATGTATAAGAAGTAAAATAACTGCAGTGCAAGCATACTGCTCTGAGCATGCCACTCTGAACTGTCCAGGGACCTCTCATGGGCATAAGCACAGCTGTAATTTTGTGGCTGTAGTGGACTGAGACTGGAATGTATAATTCTAGAATAGGACTTTTTTCTTATAAATTGCTGTCTTTATAATGCAAATAGAAGTAGTGTTCTGTGTATATGTAACCCAGATGTACAAATGAAATCAGCAGAGTGCTATTGGAGAGTTCAAGCTACCAGCATTGCGGTACTGACTGTCTTTACTCAGTACCCTCAAGTACCCATGTTCTCAGCCCTCCCACAGTATGTCTCCCCTCACTTCTTCCAAATCTGTTCCATCTGACTTCAGGAGACTTAAATATCCCCTCTCTTCTTCGGAAAGCATGTGTTTTGGAAAGAGTAAATCCTAATGCAGCAGTGGGTACAAAGGAGCTGTAGCAGACTGGCCACCAGTCAGAATATGTTCCTCTTGGATGCTTCACTTTCTGCTTCCCTGTCAGAGGAAGGGCTCCCTGTCCTGGCACCCTCTGTGCTTTGCTTGATATGGAGGCCAAGGTGGTGGCCTAGAGCAACCAACTGCTGCTCCCTGCTTCTCAGGGAGTCAGAAAATGTTTTTTTCCCCTCATCCTGTGCTGAGTAGCTGAGTACCAACAGTGTGTCACAGCTTTTGTTTCTGCTCCTCTGAATGCTCTGTCCCAGGAGGGTCCATGTGCAAAACGATACAGATGAAAATCCCACCTCTGTTACAGTTTATGGGCTTTGGTGAATCTGCTGCAAACAGCAGTGACTCAAATTCAAATCTGCAACTTTAAAATGTATAAAACAGTAAGATAATATGTATTAAACAAAGGAAGTTCTAGTAGGGCTGAACTAGCTTTCCAGTTCATCCAAGCACACCAGCAGACATGATGTTTCATGTGCCTTTAAGAGGTAAATGACTGTATAGTTGGAGTCCTAAACCATAATAAAATTATTATACTTTTAGTCAGAATATAACTCTGTTTGCAACCTTGCTTTGTGGAGCACTTCTGTTTTTACTCTCACTGGGAGTCTTGTAAGCCTTTCTATTGCTGATTTAGCCATTTGTATTAATCCTTTGGGATCAAAGTGCTTCTGTATCAACACCATTGATTTTTCCTTCTGTTTCCTAGGCTGTGAAGATATTATTGCAGAGAGCATCTCACTAGACACCTTAATTGCCATTCTGAAGTGGAGCTCTCAGCCGTACGGTTCCAAGTGGGTACATCGCCAAGCGCTACATTTCCTCTGTGAGGAGTTTACCCAGGTCATGACTTCAGATGTCTTCTATGAACTCAGCAAGGACCACCTGCTCACAGCTATCCAGTCTGACTATTTACAGGTAACCTGCAGAGCAGAATAAAGGTGGTCCTGCTTGAAGCAGGTTATATTATACCATTACTAGAAGCACTTGGGAGTAGCTCATTTTAAATAGTAGGCAAGAGTGGGTTTGCATTCACACTAAGCATTGCTTTTGTCATATGTAGAAAATGAAATTGAAGTAGTGATGAAGGAGACTTTTGTTCTTGGGTTGTAACACAACCCAAACTGGTTGTGGTATGTGCTGTTGCTTAGAAGCCTAATAATAGCTTAGAAATGGCTGCAAATTATTTTAAAGCATTTCTGAACGTAACATTTGCTTTGCATATTGAAGTGTTTTACAGAATTGTGGTAATTTTGGTTTAACAACATCCATCCTAGTTGGAAGCAGTGGGAGCTAATAAACTAATAATCATTCAAAAGACTTTATTTTTGGGGGGAGACATAAAAATACGTTTCCTGATGAATATTGTAGAATTTCTTTCCTTTTGTTATAACTTTCCTTCTGTGGTTGTGTGGTTTTAGGGAGAGGAAGGTTTCTCTTCAGGGGAGATCTTTATAATGCTGACCAATCTTTTATAGCTTAAAGATGACTGGATTTTTTTTTTCTAATTGTATCTGTCCCAGTCTTGCCTTTTTTTTTTTTTTTAATTATTTACGTTTCAAATGTTAGAGCTTACTGAAAGTGTTGGGGTGTTTTAAGTTAAACACTTCAGGAATTACAGGAACAGTACTGGGAACAGTACTGTTGATCTTCCATAAGCATGTGTACTATGATTAAATTTCCTACCCATGAGCATGTGTACTATGATTCAATTTCCTACCCTAGTCATTAAGAAATTACATAGATAAATCTAAATTTTTTGGTACATGATTTTTTCCTCTAAAACTGTTGAGTGGGTAACGCGTGTATAGGTGTGTACAAAGCAAGGTTGTTTTCTCTGTATTACTGAAAGTCTTTCTCTTCACCTAGCTATAATTTGTTTGGCTTGATTATTTTTGTTGCTTCCCAGGCTGTACAGACACTGAACTTGTAATATTACACAAGAGATCCAAACACCAGTTTTAGAACTGCCCCTTTTAATTAACTTAAATTGTTGAAGTTTAATACCTGTAAGTTTTCATGCTAGACAACTTTTTTTTTTACTTCTGTAGAAATCTCCTCATCCCCCATTCCTAGGGATTCAGTGACATGAATCTAGAAATCATGGTGGTGTTATGCCAGTAGTGTTACCTTAAAATATGTGAAGGAAGTGGTATAGCAGATCATAAAGTACAAATACTTCTTGTGTGTGCATGTGACATTAAACTAAGCATGCATAGATTGCTGACTTTCTCTTTCTACTAGGCAAGTGAACAAGATATTCTTAAATATCTGATTAAATGGGGAGAGCACCAGCTGATGAAGAGAATAGCAGATCGAGGTAAGGATCCTTTAATCCACAGTACTAAACTACATAAACCAAAATATATGGAAGTTCTTTTAGTGGGTAATCTGTAACTTAAGGACATTTCCTTCATGTACTTGGTTCATAATACAGTCCAAACTAAACAAATGTACTTATTTTTTTAAAAGCTTTTGTTCTCTAAATAATGAGAAGGCAGGCATTCTGAGGGAGCTGGGATTGTTTACCTTCAAGAAGAAAAGGACTGGGGGCATCTCTGCAAAGTCTACAAATATCTAATGACAGAAAGCAAAGAAAATAGAACCACACTCTTCTCTTGTTAGCCAGGACAGGATGAGAGGCAGTGAGGCATTGACTGAAGTACAGGAAATTCTGTTTAAGCACAAGAAACTTAAGATGGTCAGACACCCGAACAGGCTTCCCAGAGTAGTTATGGGATCTCCATCCTTGGAGGTGTTAAAAAATCCAACTGGATGCAGTCATGGCCAACTTCTTCTACCCGGTATGGGGACAGGGTGGTGACTGTGGCCAGACCAGACTTCTAGAGGTCCTTTCAAGCTCAGACTTTTAATTCTGGTTGGTTTCTGTTATCTCAGAATTATTTTTCTTGTTATTAATTCATCAACTAAAAAAAAACCCTACCTGCAGTATCTTTTACTTTTCTGTGCTCCTGCAGGCTTCTCACAGTAGTCTTACTCTGTGTTTACTGTGTCACCCTTTCACTTCAGTTTTAGTACATTTCTCCCACAGAAATCTGTGATCGTGAGAAACAAGTCAGTAAGTGGCATCACTGTTTTTCCTGAAGTAGACATAAATGTATTTTTGTTCCCTCAGATGCGTATTATCGCTGCAGTGGTAACTTCAAGGGCAGTCTCACGTGTTGGATGTGGGAAGTAGGTTAAATATGTATTTCCCAAAATATATATTCCCAAATTACAAATGCAAGTAGTTTGTAGTTCATCCTCACCCCAGAGTCTCAGTCAGATACTGTTAACTGCTTGCAATACAACTTGTCATGGATGACATGTTAAAATGTGTGCTTTTAGTGACCTAAGTATTAACCTTTAAAAAAAGGTTTTCCAAGTGTTTGTCTTCAGGCATATTGAGATGGAGCCAGTTAAACAGTAATGGACCTGGGCCTGAGGAGAAGCTGCTCATTTGGAGTAATTGCGCTTCTTCTTGGCCTGTGCTGTTCAGTAAGCAGCTCATTTCTCTTTTTTGGGGTCATCAGATAACATGATAAGCAAAGGCAGAAATAAGAACTACATCAAGTTCTGTCAGATTGGGGCCAAATACAGTCTAGTAATTTGATCTAAATTCCTCTGCAACAGTCCTGATTTTGCAGCTCTGAATACATGGTGGTGTCAGTCAAATACCAGAAAGCATTAGAAATTGTAATGGGCTGTGGCCGACACCTGAGCTGTGTGTACTGAAGGGAGGATGGGTATGTTTGACAGGTTTCCTCAAAGAGTGAAGCTAGTTGAATTCAGGTTGGGCACAATACCTAAAATAGAGATGAAGGTACTTAGCTGGGGAGGGAGAATGACCTGAATGTGTCGTCAGCTGTCATCTTGTCATCTTCCAAGAGAAAGATACCCCTTCTTGTTACAAATAGGTGTCCTGTGACAGTGAGAGCAATTTGAATGGGCTTGCCACAGTTATTGCTAAGGTGGGTTACACAAGGAGGCTAGAATAATTTATCCCAGTGGACACTTCAGGCCTTAATTTGTAGAAAATAAGTCTCTGAAAACTGCCAGGGAAAGGGAGAGGAGCTGCAGGAGAGGGTCCCTTGGGGGAAGTGCACATGTTTTCATAGCATAGCTCTTGGTAGAGCTTTAGAAACATTTACCTCAAAACACTATTTTTGTTTTTTCTTCCTGGTTTACACTTTGACAGCTGTGCAAATGACCCATGCTTCTGTAAGCTGAACCTATCTCTGGGTACTTCATAACAGATTTTAAGACATGAAATAGTTTTGTAGAACATCTCTGATAAGCACTGTTGATTTAAAATTAGAATTAACTTCCTATAAGCCACATAACTCCTGCCATCCTATCTAAACTTTTTGATGCAAACTTAGTATGTCTTGTTCCTTCCCACAGAACCAAATTTACTCAGTGGTACTGCTCACAGTGTGAACAAAAGAGGTGTGAAGAGGCGAGATCTTGACATTGAGGAGCTGAGAGAGATCCTGTCTCCGCTTTTACCGTTTGTCCGCATTGAGCACATCTTACCCATGAATAGTGAAGTACTGAGTGATGCAGTAAGTCAGTAGTCTCATACAAATACTGTCTCTGGGTTCTTTGTAGTTCAGATTCTACAATGTTCAGGGGTTCTTTCAAGGATTAGCTCATAAAATGTTATCTCTGAGTAATACATGTATAACTCTTCTGGTTAAATTTTCTGTTCTTTAAATCTGTCAGAAGGCTGAAGAAAATTAAAGTGTAAGAAGTCAGCGTAAGAAATGCATTTCTTGCAAGTTTTAACCCTTTTATATTAAAAAAAAAACCATAAAACTCTTTCTTGATTCTTGAAGATGAAGAGAGGCCTGATTAGTACTCCTCCTTCAGACATGCTACCAACATCAGAAGGTGGAAAATCAAATGCCTGGCTGCGGCAAAAAAATGCTGGAATATATGTGCGGCCAAGACTGTTCTCACCATATGTGGAGGAGGCAAAGGTAATAATCATTAAGAGCACTTGACTATTGTTAAATCAGAGTTGTTGGGGTTCTGTAAGCAGGGAAGGATTTTGGTATGTTTTGTCTCTCTTTGCATGTACTGCCATAAAATACTAACGTTTTCAATTTAACAAGACTTACAAGATTGATCATCAGGCTCAAGTCTCTAGAACTGGTCAGAAAAAATTTCAACAAAAGTTTTTTTTGTCAAAAATGAAATGTTTGTGAGACAGATCTTGATGAAATTCCACCGGAAACAAAGCAGCGTTCTGAGGGAAACCTCCCTGGTTTCCAGCCAGTTTGCCGGCCCAGCTCCTCGGCAGCCCTCCTGGCAGGCGGATGGCAAGGTGAGAGCCTGAGAGTCCCAGTTTGCAGCTAGTCAGCAGCCTTGGTGCCAAGTCTTTCAGGCTCCGCAGCTCCCACCAGAGCTGGGTGGAGAACTTGTATTCCACTCGGCAGAGGACTGATGTTTCATCATCTTGTTTGAATCAGAACACATCCAAAATTCTTTAGATCCTCCGCAAAATGGAATAAATATCTTGTGTCCAATTTGACTGAAGTCCTTTTTGTCCTGCTCAGGCAGTAGTTTCCCTATTTAATATCTTGCATGAGGACTGTCAAACTGAAGATCTTATAGCATCACTGATGGTGACGTTTGATGACAGGGTGCAGATGCCTCTGTGTGGGGCAGAAACATGCTGTATTCTGTTTGACATTGAATGGGAGCCTTGTAAGTCACTCATACCACCACTTTGGGCAGCTCTGACTTAAGTCAAGTGCATGTAACTGCAGAGCAAGAGGATTAGGTGGAGCTGTGCACATCCACATCGCCTACAGACTCTGACCATTACTCTGGTGAATACAGAGCTTTTGGCCTGTGCCCAAGAAAGAAAATGTTTATAAGGGCTTGAGTTGTTGTCAATATCGTTTTTGAGGGGAGGGGAGAAATCAAACTACTTTGCATTTTGGACACAGAGGTTACTGGGCACCAGGTGGCAGTAAAGCAGCAGAGGAAGACTAGCCAGTTCAAACTTGATCTTCATATTTTGGATTGTTAAAACTAATAAAAATGTGTTAAAGGACATGTGATAAAAGGTTTGACTCCTTCAGCTTTCAGGTATATGGTATGGGAGTGCTTTAGTAGTTATTTTCAAGTAAAAAGTGCATTCTAAATTCCCCTCCCCCCCATCAGGAATCCTGTTTGTTTCTATTAGTTTTGTGTTTATGCTTATTTTAATCTTTTTAAAAGCATCATTAACTGTTTAACTTTAGAGGGAGGACTCTTATTACCTGGTAGCCATATTCCTAGTCATAGTTTCATTATTGTGAAATGCAGGAATTGCAGATAAGTGATTTCTGATTTGTTTTCTTCCTCTGTTAGCCTCCCATATTTTGTAATAAATCCGTTTAACATTAAATGAGACTATCAAAAGGGTATGGTAAATCCCTTTCTGTTCTTTAAGATGTCTCAGGGAAACACATCTCATTCTCAGACTCATGCCTCTACTCAGTGGCACAGAGGGTTGAGACCCGTAGGCAGTAATTGAGAGAATCCAGAGGGTCTGGCCTCAAGAAGGTTACCTCTAATCAGACAGGTACAAAATAAGCTTCCCAAGCTTCATTCACCTGCCTGCTCTTAGTTCTGGAAATCAACTCTGATCATGACTGGAAAATGGAATAGAAATACTTTGGAGAAGCCAAATACTGTCTGGGACCTGGAAAAGTTACAGCTTAGGCATTGCTAGACTTGTGGCGTCGCAGCTGCGTTTGCAGCAGGTCCTGGTGGGTCCATGTGGGCTGTGCCTTCATGAGGGCTCTGATGGCTGTCGTTGCAGTCGGTTCTGGATGAGATGATGGTGGAACAAACAGATCTTGTTCGTTTGCGGATGGTCCGAATGTCCAACGTGCCCGACACCCTTTACATGGTGAACAACGCAGTGCCGCAGTGCTGTCATATGATTACCCACCAGCAAGTTAGCACTAACCAGTCCAGTCCTCCTTCAGTGATAGCTAACGAGATCCCAGGTAAGGCTGCTAGATCACTTGCAATGCTGATTGCTGTGAGTGGATGGGTCTTGGGACCAGGGGGAGTGAATGTGAATTATTGAATGTTATGATCTCCTCAGAGAGTATTACTGTACCACTGGGGCTGTTTCCCACCCAGTAGTAATGCCTTTTGCTTTGGTCTGCTTTGAAGTCATGAACTGTTTTCGGATGGCATAATAAGTGGTTAGAAAACAAGCTGCTGGAGGGGGTAGTATCTTAACCTGCTCCATCTGAGCAATCTGAAAAACCTTGCACTGGTTAAACTTTGTGTAGAACACTTGATGGAGCCTGGCACTCTGTTCTCAGGGTGTTTCTCAGTTTTCTACAATTGGTCATCCAAAATGGGTAGGATCCAAAAGGCTGGAAAATGGTAAAAGACTGATTTTTCTTTTTTTTAATAAAAAACAGGGGAGCATAACTTGTAGGGCAGTCAGCTTAACTCAGTTTGGCAGAAAAATACTGGAAGTAGGCACTCAAAACAGATTTTTTCTTTTTGAGTTTACCAAATACATTTTAGCTTTGAAGTCAAACCAGCTTCGTTCCCTGTGCAACAAGAGTTTTTATAGCTGGAAGTAAACACAGCCTCTCTTGACTTCAGAATACTTGGTGTGACATTCCCCATAGACAAGCCAGGGAAATAAAGTCATAAAACTACTGTAATATATTTTATCATTTGTGCATTTGGTCTTTTGGTGGCAGACTGGAATAATGTACTGGGTGGGATTCCCAAAGCATCTAGCTCTTCTCCTCTTTCCCCCATTCCATTAATACTCAGTGTGCATAGAGAATACACTGGCAAAACTTGCAGCTGATGGCAAGTTGAGAGGGTCAGTGGATGTTTGGGAGGGAAGTCAACATTATACAGTTCCTTAAAGAACAACTGTTACACTAAAATACAAAACCGAGTGTGCCACAAGGCATATGAAGTAATTTGGTCTTGAATGGAGTATTGTTTAGCCCTTTAAATGGCCACTCTGGATCAGGTTAAGGTATTGTTCTTGTATCCTTATTCCAGCAGTTGCCAGAAGTGAGTGCATAAGGAAAGTGTAGCAGAAAAAGCATACAAAATAATTCTCTGTAAAATTCTGTGTGCTCTTCAACCACTTGCAGCTCAGAAATGTCCTGTGATGGGCGGTGTTTCTGTAGTTATAGTTTTAAATGCGTTTTTAATCCATGAGTTTATACGGCCTTTTGTTAAACTTTCAGAAACCACTTTTAGATCAAAGCATCACATTTCAGTAGATACTATGATTCTGTGATACAGATCAGTTTGTGGGTCTGTAGAAAAGCAATAAAGATGATTTGGCACCAAGATGAGTCATTGTCCTCCCTCCACCTTGCCCCAGTCCTCATTTTATATCTCTGTATAGCTCTTTGTATATCTATTATGTTTCCCTTCAGTCAACTGCATGAAAAGTGTTTTTACAGATGCTAGAGCCAGGGTAAAAATAATAGGTTTAAATTGGTGCAAAAGAATGTAAGTTGAGGTATTAAGAAGATTTGAAACCCTGTTAAATACTGCAGTGAGTTTTCTATGAAGGTTTGTGGAAATGTTTTGATCTACTTGTGAATTGTGATTAGGGAGGGACTTCATAAAGCCTGAATCGAGCTTCTGGAAACTTCTGTATTTGATAAAAGTACTAATTGTTTAGAAACTTAGAGCTGTAGCATCTAAACAGTATGTTACAGTGCTCAGACTTTCTCCCCTCTACAGAAAAGCATGAATATACTCACCATTAATTGAGTGTGAAGTGTTTCATCCTAGGATGTGACTTTGATAACACTTCGCGTGATCTTAGCTTCCAAAGAAGTTGAGAAAGGCAACAGGTTCTCAAAGGTCTCCCATGTTTTACAGAAGTTCTTGTTTTGAAGAAATCTGGTTTTGTTCGCAAATACGAGGCATCTTGACCAATCCAAAACTCGCCTACAGCTGGATTCTGAACAACTTAACATGTAGGAATTACTGCCACCCCTTGGGTTTGAGCATGGGTGTGAGCTCTGAGCCTGGCCGGTACTTGTAGTGCAGGTATTGTGTCTTGGTAGCTGCCTCTTTGCTTAATTCTGTGATTAAGCAAAAGATTTGCTAGTGTCTTCTGCAAGAAGCGTAGATGGAGCCAGATAATCTGAGGAGATTCAGGCATGTGCCAGACCTGTAACTTGCACAGGAATCTATCCCAAAACATAGATGGGGCACAGGAACTGCTGGAGGGAGAGCTAGGGAACACCATCTCCTTGCCCCTTAGGCTGGGCTCTTAGGGCAGGGGGGTCTTTGCATCTTGGGTATTCTCCATCTGTCACATCTTCCTGGTACCCACTGCCCAGGGACTGTATTGGCATAAATGCTGATGGCAGCATACCTTAGTGCTGCTCTTGCAAAACTACTGTAACGAGAGTTCAGTGTCTGCTAAATTCTCCTCTGCTCTGAGGCTGTGTTCTGCAGGGAACTGGGTTTCTTCAGGTATGTTCCAGTTCCATTTGGAATTAGAAATCCTGCAACTGACTTGGCAGAATCGTATTTTCCATATATATCATCTCTCTTCTGTGTGTTTCAAGTGAATAATAGTAAAAGCAATCGGAAACTAACTTGTGTTTGAGAAGACAGCACTTTTTAATTAAAAGCTTGGCTGATTTTTATGCCTGCTATTTTGGAGAACTGCTTTAAACTTCTCTGAAATCATCTTTTCTCAATGTTAGCAAAATGCTGATTGTAGCTAAACATCTGACTGTTCTAAAAAATGCTGGTGTAGCAATGGAAGTGTGTGGAGGGTGGTGTGCAGCACTGACTTCCAAGGCTTGGAAACTGCATAGAATTGATTTCTGCCCACCCCCCCTGCCCCGATACAGGAACTCAGTTGGGAGGGCAGGGGGTATATTTTGCAGTACTTACAGTTATCTTTCATGTACCAATGTAAACTTTGTGAAATTGGGAGCAGGAGTAGTTGCATGGTGTTGGGGTTTTTTCTTCTCTATATTGCAGATGCCTTTTCACACTGATGTTACTGTTTGATCCGTTTGATTTTTATGAGTTTTCATTATGGACATCTGGCCATGGTAATATATAACACTTGTAAAGCTGATAGAGGATCAAATACCAGCACTGCTGTTTTCAGAGGTCTGGATTCATCTTCTATTACGATATACACATTTTCCTGAGGACAGAAAGACCACAGAGAAGTATCATTCATCATCAACCAGCAGCAAGGAGTGGCATGAGAAAGTTTTGTAGCAGGATAAATACCCCAAATTATACATAATTTCCTTTTGGAAAGGTTTTTTAAGATTATTTCAGTATGGCTGCATTAAACAGCATAATTTTAACAGGTTTATGTTAGCTTACAGTTTGTATAACTTTTTTCGAATCCTCTGTCTGTAGTTGCATACTGGTATTATGGTCTCATGATTACAGAATTCCATGAGAAGTATGAAGTGTATGCCAAAAAAAAATTAGTGAGTTCTTGGCCTGTAGAATTCATGAGGGAACATTCAGTTGTTATTTCAGATATCCTGCCCCCATCTCAAACCATGACATTCCTCCATCGTGAGGGGTTTGCACAGAAGGCTGTATTTGTGGCTCATTCTAGCAGAAGCTGGGAAGATGGTTTATGTCTTTACCATTTGTGTGATATGTGTGTTATCCTGTGTGGCTTAGTGATGCTCCAGGGAAAATGTGTCAGTCAAACTGTTCTTGACAGAATGCTGCTTAAGAAACAAACAGGGCCAAGTCAACATGGTAGGTTTTTCCTTCAGAATTAAATCTGACCCTTGCCATCAAACTTCCTGTGTCTCAGTTCAAAAAGTAACCTCTCTTACCCCATTCTGTTCTCTGTCCTCCTGCAGTTCCCAGTCTTCTCACTGTGAAGGAGATGATCAGACGGCTGCAGGAGCTGCGCCACACAGAGCAGGTGCAGCGGGCATATGCTCTGAACTGCGGCGAAGGCGCCACAGTCAGCTACGAGATTCAGATCCGTGTGCTGCGGGAGTTTGGGCTCTCTGATGCTGCTGCTGAGCTTCTGCAGGTATGAGCATGGCTGTGTAAGACCACACAGAATTATAGCATCACCCAGGTTGGAAAAGATCTTTAAGATTATCAAGTCCAACCTTTACCTCAGGACTGCCAAGTCCACCACTAAACCATGTCACCTCATCTACACGTTTTTTGAACACTTCCAACGACAGTGATTCCACCACTTCCCTGGGCAGCCAGTTCCAGACCACAAATGCTCTGATCCTGTTTTGCTTAGGAATTGACTTGAATGTGTAATCTGTAATAAAAGAGCTATTTTGTGTGTGCACATGCAGGTGCGGGAATGCCTTGAAATGCCTGCATAACTGTAGAACTGTCCAGGTGCAAATTACAGCGAGACCGTTGCATTTGATGTGTGTGATTTTATAAATGTGTAAGTGCAACATACACATTTGCAAGAGCTGTTGCCATTCAGAGTGCTGTTACTGTCACAGACTTTGGGGACAAAAATCTGCTGAGGAGGCAGATATCTAGATAACTGTAACTAGAAGTCTAGGTTATGATTTACTCTTGAAGAGAAAAAGTCTTAACTAATACAGTAGATCTGCATAGTATGTGTCAGGACTGGGAGATTGAAATCCCACTTCTGTTTGTATGCTGCTGTTAAAGCAAATGCATTTGTTGGTCATCTTATTCACAAGGTGAATCTCATGCTGCTTGTCTTGTTTTTTAAGAACAAATAATACCTATATTCTATGATAGCTGTAACCACCTCAAGTGCTGGTGAGGTTTTGGGTGGCATAACTAGCCTGCTCCAGTACTAGCAGGTTCCTAGTTCTAATGCATGTTAGTTTAAGAGATTTTTTAGGTGAATTCCTACCTTTTGTTACATGCTGGGTTGTTTTCCATTGCAGAATCCTCACAAATTCTTTCCTGATGAGCGATTTGGGGACGAAAGCCCGCTCCTGACGATGAGACAGTCTGGACGGTGCCGTGTTAACAGCACTCCTACTGCAGAAACCATGTTTACAGAACTGGACTCTTTTGTGGCCTTCCATCCACCATTGCCCCCTCCTCCACCTCCATACCACCCACCAGCAACTCCTATTCATAATCAGTTCAAAGTGGGCTGGAAACAAAGGGTGCCAAGTCAACATCCCTCCCGTTCCTTTTCCTACCCGTGTAACCACTCGCTGTTCCACTCCCGAGCTGCCCCCAAGGCTCTGCTGCCCGTCTACTTGCCCAGTGTGAAAGCAGCGCCTCCGGATTGCACAAACACTACAGGTCTGGGGAGGCAGACGGTGGCTGCAGCCGCGGCAGTGATGGCAGCTGAGAAGCAAGTAGTAAGTATTATGGCTTCTCCCTATCTCTGGCCAGTCAAAGTAGTATACAGAGAGGAGCTGGAGAGGATTCTTATGATAAGGTAACTAGGCTTTGTTAAATAAAAGAGCATCTTCATTGGTTAGGAAAAGAATTTTCTACCCAACTGGCTGCCAGCATTCTGTATCCCAAAGCATGCCCTGATCCCTGGGAGAGTGAATGTTCTGGGGGCAGGAGCATTTTGGAGGGCCAAGTGAGATGTGTGGATAATCTGAAATAGTATGGGTTGCTTTATGTTTAAACCAAGTGTAAGTCTGCTTCAGTAGTGCACTGGGTGCTCTGGTTCACAAGTGGAAATAGTGATGAAGGTTTGTCTGTTCAAGGTGGGTAGTCTTGAAGCAAACAGATGTATGGAAAGGGAACCTGTGGAGGATGTGAAGGCCTTGGCTGAGAAAGGTTTTAAAATGCATAGGCAAGCAGAAGCTGATAATTGCAAATACAAAGGGCTTTGTTACAGCATTTAAAGACAGTCATCATAGCTGCTGCGATGTAATGAAAATGAGCTACAACATACTGGACAAAGACGTAGCTTTGGGAAGTACCTGAAAGCTAAATAAAGCATTGTTAAATTTATTTCTGCAGTGAAAACACAGTTTCAGTGCATAGTTGTGTCAGTTGTGTTCTTCTTAGGTGCAGATTTGAGCTGGAGTAATTAATGAGAACAGTGATCTTCTAATTAATTTTTTTTTCTCTTTAGCAATTGTCCTAAACATATTGCACACCTTTTATATTTTAGGATAAAAATACTTAACTTCAAATGAGAATTGTTTGATGTTGTTTGTTCAAGGGTGGGGTTTGTAGTGTGTGTCTCTTGATACTGATTTCACTAAGGAAACCTGTGTAGCGATCTCTTTCACGATGGAAATGTTTCTGATAGAACGTTTCTATAAAAATGCGAAGAGAAGCATAGTCTTAACATGGGTGATACTTTGTTTTGTGTTCTGAGGTACTGGTAATCAATGATTCCTAAACTTACTGTCATCAGAAATGATAAATGCAAGTGGGAACTTTAACTCTTCTGTTAAGTTAACTGGGAAGACTGCAGTATGCTTGTCTTGCTGCAGGGCTGCTTCCAGGTGTAGGTGAGCAGAATGCCCTGCCACAGCTTCCAGGGGCTGTGTGGATCTAGTCAGCACTGAACTGATGCCCTGAGCAGCCCCATGCCCCGAGGCTGTCATACACACACACACACACACACACACACACACACATATGTACCTGCAGTTAACTTAGCTTAAAATAGGAAATGCAGGCAGGAGGGTTGCATCTATACTGATGACGTGTTTCATGGCTTTCCTGCACTAGAACTCTACTGTTACAAACCATGTGTGAAGTTCTATACAGAGTACCTTGTTTAGGTTGATAGTGGCAAGTGGGTTAAAGCAGGGTTTACCTCTTGAGAGTTTGACAGTATGATGTCGTTTCCTGCATATTTGCCACACAAACTACTATTGTGGCGCAACAGCTTCAGGAAGGAAAGAAGGTGCCTTAAGCTAGCAGGAAGGTGAAGGCTAGAGGATACATCTGTTCTTTAAACAGTGCAGGAAGCTTGCTGGCTGAGGTTGGTCTAGGCAAAGGTAGATTAGGAAAATGCCATTCTGAATTACGGAAACAGTCCTAAATACAGTTTATGTTTAGCTTTTGCTATTTTTCCATGAACCAATTTCTTCTCTTTTCTAGTGTACTCAGCCCTTGCTAAATGAACTGATGCCAGATATTGCAATGGGTGTGTCAGCAATGTCTCTAAAAGACAGAAGATTACCAGAGCTCACAGTTGACACGGAGATAAGCCAGACGGTTACAGAGGTGGGGCCCGGTCCACCCCAGCACATTTCATGTATTCAGAACAGACACATGCCCACCGCTCGGAAGAAACATGCAATAGAGCAAAAAGTAGATGCCCGAGAAAATCAGCAGGAATATCCTGACTTCTATGACTTCTCTAATGCTGCATGCAGACCATCTACTCCAGCACCCAACAGGCACAGTCCTTCGCCTTCACAAGGCATATATTTTGGCCCAGATTTGTACAGCCACAATAAGGCATCACCAAGTGGCTTAAAATCAGCCCACCTACCCTCCCAGATATCTCCTAAAAAGCAAGAGGATTCTCGGAGGGAATACGTGGTCTCCCAAGATGGGCATCAGCAGAGACAAAAGAATGAGCCAATACACCTCGATGTCTTAGAGCAGCCTCCCCAGCGACTGGACTTGGCGTTGGCTACCCAGGAAAGTGCTGGTAACGGCCCAGTTCACATCAGGGGAAGAACAAAGATGGAAACCGACCTAACCTATGGGCTAACCTCCAGCAGACCTCCGCTCTCCACATATGCCTCCGAAGGGCAAGAAGAGAGACACAGCAGGAGACTGGCAGACGATGAGCCATTGGAACATGGAGCACAGAGGAACACAGATCTGGAGAGGGAAGATGCAGTAAGCCGAGGAAGGAGGTCTCCAAGCAAACCAGACTTCCTGTATAAAAAGTCTGCCCTATGAAAGCAACCTCCATTATTTCTCTGTGCCTAAGAGTTGTAAACATCCCATTCTTTGCAACTTCTGGCCTGACTTCTGTCAGACAAGTTCATTCACGCCAGCAGATAAATTCAGCTTCACTCACTTCTTTTGTACATACCGTTGATTTATTAGAGACGGCATGTTATCGGTATGGGTTTAATGCTGCTTCTGGTTTCATTTTGTGGGAATCTCTTTTTTTTGAGCAAATTTAAGCCTTTTAGGGAAGAAAAAAAAAAGAGCTGGTACCTTTTTTGTACAACCTGGTAGCCTTTTGCACCTGTACATCTATTTTAGTGTATTGGTTTTGTACTAATATGTTAAACTTTATTGTCACATTTAAAGGACTGTATTTTCATACTTTTACATTTTCCTTCTCACCTGCCAATTCCCAATGTGCATTGGGTTGCACATGATAAAATGTATTTTCTTATGAGATAGTAACAACGTGTTTATTTTTTAATTATAGGAATTCCAAAGAACAGCACATCAGAATACTCCGTTTTCAGTTAGAATTCATTTGTTTGTTTAGATCTGAAATCTTCTTGATTTTTACCACTACGGCAAGAACCTAGTCTAAGGTTTTGTTTGAAAAGTTCTGAGTCTTACCCTTATTCCCCTTACCCTTATACAGCAAGCCCATTTCAAGAGTTACTTTTGGGTTTTTAAGAGTCTAGGGATTATTTAGAAGTCCAAATTCCAGTGAAATTAACTGGGTTCTGACAGCCTGATTCCATTTGATTTCTGGTTCAGTTGTGACCATGGGGAACTCCATGATCACCCAGAAGCACTTATTAGACCTGAATTGTTCATTTGCCCATGCAGAAATGAATCCAGAAGTACTGTAAAAAGTGATAGTAATAACTTGTTCTTCCAGCTACTCATACGTGGGGGTAAGTGAAGACCGGAGCAGAGGATTCATGCTAACTCAAGTGTCAGGAAGATGAGGCACAGCGCCTTTGCTGTTGCCTAAGCAGTGACCCTCCAAGTGAGAGGGTTCCCTTTCCCACAGAGGTACCAAGGTAGCTGCTTGTTGCCTTGCTTCCTCCTGCCTGTGATTAACAAAGGGCTTCACTCTTAGCGATGTGGTTCAGTGTTCTTACCTGATCTGAAGTGTTGCTGACTTCTTAATTATAGCTGTTCTGTGAACAAAATCAAAGTGAAGAGCAAGTGCTCTAGCATAATGAAACATGCAAAGCTTTAGCGCTCTTAAATTACACTCCCATTTCCTGACTTTGATTTTTTGAAGCACAGAAATGAGGTTCATCTCTTAACATGGTATGAAGAGGGAATGAGAGTGATCTGGGCTGGCTCCCTGACATAGGTTGGGGTTGAGCAATGCTCTGGGTGTAACGGTTGTAATTAAGTGCATCCTTGATACCTACTGTGCAGTTTTACCACAGGTTCATTGCATGTAGGATAGGGATCTGGTGCCACTGCAGTGTAGTGATTAGTGGTAATGGCCTGTTAGGGTTTTCTTTTAAATGCAGTTTCTATAATGAAAATCTTCCCTGTAGTAGAAAACTTTAACCTAGGTTTGACCTACAGACTACTTCAAGGTTAGGTTGTTTCCTGCAGTTAAACGGAAGTCTCATTGCAGCTGTGGTTTTGGTTGTAGTTGATGGTGGATTCTTAACCCATTTTGTTCAAGTGCAGGGCCTGGTAACAACATCACAGTGTTATTGAAATAGATTGGATACTGCATTTTCACACTAGCAAATAGCTTCTAGAAAAATGAGAATAGGGGTTTGACCCAATAGATCCTAATGTCTCTGGTGATGCACCTGCAGGCCTTCTCTGAGAGCTTTGCAGAGGTGTCTTTTGAGATGAGCCACAGAGGTGTGCGTGGTTTGAGGAGGACATAGCTGAACTACGCAGGTGCTGTGTCTGGTGGGTGAGGGGAGATGAGCTTTTTCTGTTCTGGTTGGGTTGGATTTTTCCCCTTCTCAGCCTTTTCAATCTGTTCGGTTTGCCCAAAGTCAGGATGCCTGGTGGTCCTGGCCTCATTGCCAACATGTGGTATATCCATGGGACTGCAGTGTGGTTAATTGCAGGAGGCGTCTGTGGGGGGACACTGCTGCTGCAGGTGAGGGGATGAGGTTCACTGGGTTTCTTCTGCAGATTTGAGCCCAGTGCTGTCCAGCTGCATAGCTCTGACTGGCGCTTGGGTCTCATCCTTGCCAGCACTAGAAGCATTAACTTCCATCACACACAAACCCTGTAGTCGCTGCAGTTGTGCCAGATGTATGTTGGTATCTTAATTACTAAAATGTCATAGCTGTCCTCAGCAAACTTCCGAGTAGTTTATTTTTACCGAAACTGGTAGGTGTACTTGGAGAAAACTATTGTAGCTGCTGTAGTTGGATGTGGCACTGTGTGTCTGGGCAGAGGTGGGGCTGAAATCTACAGAGGTAACTTCTCAGCTTGAAATCTGTGGGGATGTGGCTGATGAAGACTGAGTTTTGAGGTTGTGGCTTGAGAGAAATCATGAAATGCTTTGGCTTTGGAATGAGCTGGTAAGAATTGCCTCTGGGGGGGACATGTCTGCATTTTAGAATACCAATGGCTTCTGATGTCTCAGAAGCTGATAGTATTAAAAGGAGAATAAGGTGCTTAAAAGTAGTTGTGAAATAAAAGACAAGTCCTTCTGAGGCCACAGTCAGGCCATGTAGACAATCTGTGTTTTCACTTGTGTATTTTGAGTTGGGAAGAAGATGGCAGCTGATTCAAAGTGGAAAAGAAGGATTTGTGCAATTACTGGAAGTGTATTCTTGTATTCCAGCGTAGGATTCCCTGCTTAGTTTGACATGCAGAGGGAGGGGAGGGAGCCCATCTTCATTCTTCATGGAAGCATTATTTAGAAGCTAGTGTTTGTACTGCATCTCGCTTGCAGAACACATGTACCTGTACTACCTGCTATTACTTGTTCTCTGTGTACTGAAACTTTGGTGCAGAAGCTCCTTGTTTACATGAAGCACTTTCTGGTTAGGCTGGAAGTTAACATCTTTTCCTCCTGTAAATTTGATGGAATAACAGATTACTGACTAATTTGGCTTGAGGATAGAGGTATGAACATTTAAGTTTTCTTGCATGAGGAAGACTCGTGCTTCTTGTTCTATTAAAGAGCAAGCTCAGACTTTCATTTAGTGAGCAACACGCAAAAACTTCTTATTCCCCTTTCCCTTACCCCCTCCTCATTTCCTTAATTCGTGAAACAGATTCTTCCTTTTAAATGTTTTGTTGTTCCATGGAGTTACTGTAGCTGTGTATTAATAACTGCTATGTTGACTGGCAGTTTCTTCTTGTATTTTTCCTGTTCTTAGGAGTTTCATCTCTGAAAGTTAAGGCTGTGGCCACCTGTACCTGTAAGCCTTGGGTTTTGGTCCTGGAATGTCCCAAATGTTTGTCTTGGGGGTTTCTTTGGTTTGGGTCTGGGGGAGGAGGGCTGGGGTTTGGGTGTTTTTTATTTGGAAAGAATACTCATGCTGTTTGAGGCACCATTCTTCCTTCTAACATTTACTTGTTTCTAGTAGAGGGGGTGCTGAGCTCTGCAGAGTGCAGGGAGCAGCAGCAGAGGAAATTTGTAAAGCTGTGTTGGGTCTCTGTAGTTGCCTGTACTGCCAGAAGGCAGCCCAGCCTTCGGCAGCGTTCCGGTTTTGTTTCTTGTCCTTGTGTTGTTACTGGTATAAAGTCAAGTGCCTTCAATGCTAAAGGCTCAGAAAACTTTCTTAAACTGACTTCATGTCCTATGCAAGTGTTTTTTCTACAACCTGCATAACCAGTACTTTGTAAAACTTGTTTACGCTTCAATTGTACATAGTGTTTTTTAAAAAATATAGTATTTTTATTTAGGTACCTCCAAACTTGAATTCGAGTCTTGTGTGATGCATTGTAAAACAATACATTTCTCTTTTGAGTACCATTACAGTTGTAAAAAGGTTTTCACTGGTTCTATTTTTCTACTGTTGCTGAGAAGCATGCAACACTGACTTTATCCTACATATAGTTGGCGTTTCAAATAAATGGCTTGTATAGAACGTGCCTGTGCGACTTCTTCCTGTGGTCTGTTAGCACTGGCTGCCTCCGGGCTGGCTGCCGGGCTGATCCGAATGTGCCGTGCTGTGACTGATGCTGGAGCAAGAAGAGTGGTTCAGTACAGATGAGCTGTAGGTGTTCTCCAGCAGGCAGGGACCTTAAAACTGGCAAGGTCTGTTGCTCTTTCTGGGGCAGAAACTGCACAACAGTGCTCTGAGCGTCAAGGATCTATGCTACACGCCACTTCAAGCAGCTTATTAAGCTGCTTGGTGACATAGTTCAGTGTGTCCTGGCTAGAGCTTTGTTGGCTGAGACTGTTTGCTATTAAAGACAAAGGGTTCCATGCAGTCAGGGCTGTGGGGCTTAGCCCTTGATCCAGGAAGTGTTTATTTTCTCAGCAGAGCAGCCAGACACTCATTAGGTACCTGGTGTTCTCCTCTTGAGCAGCACTTGCCCTGCATCGGCTGAACACTCATTACACCATTAACAGAAACAAGTGCTTCGCTACTTCGGGAACATGGTAAGTTCAGAAGTGTGTCGTCCAGCCACAGAAAGCCTTGACTGGTCTCACTGTGATGTACAACAGTAAAACACCTGCCTTCTGTCCTGATGGGAAGTGGGGTGGGGAGAGAGACTACTTGTATGGTCTTACATGGTAATTACTGACACCTCTGTTCCCACATCCAGGAAGGTAACATTTAGGAGCAACTTCTAAAGTGGTCAAATGTAACATTAATTGTTACAGACTCCCTGTTCATTTTCCAGGAGTGTTCTTTTGGGCCTGCTACCTGCACAGAAGAGGGGTCACCTCTTCACCATGGGGCAGAGGGCGCAGGGGGGGAGGGAGCTGTTGTGAAGAAAGCACAGTGGTGTTAAGGAAGCTGGGTAATGCAAGGTGTGAGGAAGTAGGTGCACTTTAGGCACACCCAGCTCGGTGACTGTAGCTGCCCACCACGGGTGCTGCCCTGGGTGTGCCACTGCAGCCACTCTAACTCCACTTTGTGCAAATTACATGCTTGGGTTAAAAACCTTCCTGCCACTGAACTCCCCCCTCTGTGCACCATTCCTATGGCTGCTCAAGTACAGTGTGTGCTGAGACTGGGCCTCCCTCTCCTGCTGACGTGCACCCTGGTAGCTGCTGTGACTTGGTATATGCTGGGGGAGGACAGCACTGCTTGGAGAGCTGAGGGCCTCCATCTAGGAGGTGGCATGCAAGACAGCACTTGCCTCAAAGCATTTTCTTCCCCCAACCCTTTAATCAAGGACATGCTGAGAACCAGCCATACAGAGGAAAACTCATCCTGTTCTGCTTTTAATCTTACTCAAAACTTTACCTCGTGTCACACCTGCCTGAACCAGTCCAGGCAAAGGTCTAGGAACACTGGGCTTGACTCTGCCCCTGAGGTGCATCTTGGCCACACAGCTAACAGCTCCTTGCTGCGCTGCCCTGGGCTTGGGTGGGAACAACACTACAGCGGCTCTTCAACAAAACAAGACAGTAGAGATCAAACAGTTATTTAATTTTGAGATACTGTAGTTAAATGTGAAGTTATAATTCCCTAAGAGCTGCTACAAAAAAAAAAGCACATACAATACCCAGAGTTAAACTGAAAAGCAATTAGTCATTTTGCATGAAACAAACCCATGAACTGCAGCCCTAGGCTAGAACTAACTTTTGTAAATAAAGTGGTCAGAAACAATTAGTAGGGGAAATGATAGATAAAGGTCTGGCTTTTCCTCTCAAAAGTCATTAACATGGAAGCAGAATAGTACCCCATGGTAAGGAAATCCTCCAACTACATAAAGCAGTTAAAAAGTAGAGCTTTCTTAATGTATGGTTTGGGGTTTGTGGGTAAAGGAAACTAAAAACTACATTAGGCTCCAAACTTATGAAAAGTCACTATTTAATTGTAGCTAAGTAGATTCTTAAAAGTCAGTGAAACATCTGTTCCAGGAGTATCACAGTGATTATAAAAAGATCACACAATTTATACTGTAGCAAAATGTCAGGATCCTGCAGTGTCTTTACGGCCATTTATGAGGTGGCATAATTGGCAATGTGAGTTTTTAAAATGAAAGCACATTTTTTTAAGTCCTAAAACAACCCCCTCCCAATGCGTAATTTGGTACCTCTTCCTAGAGATTGTTTACAGTCTACTGTGTCAATAACGTTCATGTGCCAATCCTTTTTCCATGTAAAACATCACTGTACAATATTAGAAACAAATTTTCTGT